CATGAACCGAGAGCAGGCCTCCGATTCCTCTTCAGTATGGTCGGTTTTCTAGTTTGTGTACTTTTTTTAGTTGACATCCAGGGAACAGGCCAGTGGAAGCGACAGGACAGTCTATTGTAAGCCACTGCTCTCCAAAGAGACTGAGTGTGACCCAGGAGGCTCTGATATTGGGGATCCTTTGGCATGTACACCTGCCTCCCACTCTGCCCAGGCCGCTAAAAGCTTCCTGAGCAGGCAATTGCAAGCTGTTTCCTGCGTGGGCTGTATCAAGCAGAGGTGTATGTGTCTGAGCACATTCACACACACACCCCCAATCTGAGCAAGTCACAAGCCACTGACACCTTTGCCTTTGTTAAAAGCAAAGCAAAAAGCAAGCCTGTTTTACGAGGCTTCCGGTTTAAGGGATTTCTCTCCCCCCACCCCGGCAATTGAAGGCACCCCATTTTCATGCCACCCTTCTTGAGGGCACTGTTATTTCCCCTTATTTTTTGCTCCACAATCCCGAGAGCGACTTTCACCCAGTGATCTTTCATAGGAAATACCTGTTTTATTCTATATTAGAGGGGGAAACCTTCCTATAGGATTGAGCTGAACAGCAAAGCTGCTTTCGTCATCTTTCCTAACTCGGTGCCTGTTAATGCTGGGATTTTAATTATTAACTAGTTTGCACGAGATCAAAGGGGTCCGGAATGAAAAGAAAAACCATTGAGCCTATAGGTAAATGGATCTGTTGTTCTAGGATGTACACCCCAACAAGAGCCCAACTTAGCATTTGTACAGCCAGTTTGGTGCTGTGGTTAAGTGCACGGACTCTAATCTGAGAAACCTGGGTTTAATTCCCCACTCCTCCACATGCAGCTGCTGGTGTGACCTTGGGTCAGTCACAAGTCCTTTCAGAGCTGTTCTCTCAAGAACTGTTCTGGAAAGAGCTCTCTCAGCACCACCTACCTCACAGGGTGTCTGTTATGGGGAAGGGAAGGGAGTTTATAAACCGCTGAGATTCCGAGTGAAGGGCAGGGTATACCGTAAATCCAATCTCTTCTCTTCTTCTTCTTTTCTGGCATACAAAATGCTTCACAGAAATCTCATTGTGTTCTTACAACAGCCCTATATGGCAGGCTGGTATTATCTCTGAGGCTGCAGATGCTGTAACTGAGGCCAAGAAAGGGGGGCTTTCGTGAGTTCACAGCTGAATCAAGACTTAATCCAGGGACCTCCCTGAACACGGCTAAGTCTCTTAGCCGTTGCCTTCCACCAGCTCCCAGGGGGCAGCCAGCCATCACCATTCCTTGGTCTGCACATGCCAAGAGGTAAGTACCTGCATTTTGTAAGGGAGATCCATTGATAACAGATCTCAACCCACCTTTCAATGCTTTCCTACACTGACTAAAGAATGGCCATGAAAGCAGATACAAAAACAGAGGATGGCACATTGGCTAAGATTTTGTTTTATATATCTGTGGTTTTTTAAAAAAATTCAAACCCAAACCCTGCAGCCCACCCCCGCCATGAAAGAAGGAACGCCCCAAACTTTCTGCTACTAGGGCCTGTGGTCAGCGATGCTCAGTACGCCTACTCGCAAAATTCAGAACGCCACTCCCCCCCCCTCCAGCACCATCATATAGAAGAATCCAACCAGGGTGGGCAACCTTTGTTCTGGTTCTGGCGCTTGGGAGGCAAGGAGCATGACGAGGGAGGAGGGAGAGAGATGAGGTGCCGGCCAAAAGCATTCGCAACCAAGGACTTGCACAAGCCAGTTGGCTTTGTTCACTGGAGCCTTTCAAGAGGCCCGCTCGTTTCTGTCCACCATCCGATTACGGGACGGGGCAGGGGTTTTAAGGATTCTTTTACATTCTTGAAGACTGGGTGTTTCTTTTCCCCCCTCCGCTGTTTTCTGTGGTCCTCTGGGCCTTGAGATTGGGGGGGGGGGTGGCGGCGCAAGACCCCTCTATGCATTTCCGAAAATGGGATGGGTAGATCTACCTATATACCCACCTGAATTTACTTACGACTGTGGGCCGTGGCAAACAGTAGGAAGTCACTTGTGGCCAGCTTGTTTTGTTAGTTTCCAATGAGCTTGGGCACTGCTAACATTTGCGGCTTTTGACCCATTCAGGAAAGTCAGTATTGGTGTATAGCTTAAAACTAGAATATATACTTATTTATATTATATATACATATATGTCTGTGCATGTTGTGTATCTATGGATCTCTGTATGTTAGAGGAATATGCACATCTGTACACACACACACACACACACATCTATATAGCTGTCATATTATTATTTTAGTAGAAAAGGATTTATTTTCCCCAGAGTACCCTTGAACCTTTAAGGAAGACCGAAAGCTTGAATATACCTCCATTCCAAACTAGCACAAGCACTTCGAAGCGGGAGCTGCTGCTGGCTGTTTTGGGGCGGCGTTTGGACACAGGCACGTGGCTGGATTCTGCAAACCGTTTGGTACAAAGTCAAGCTGCTGCCAGGAGCATGGGAAAACCCAAAGCAGCAGGAAGGTTCAGTTATTCCTGTGGGATTTGGCACCGCTGCAAGGGATCTTGTCCTTCCCCGCCCCCCTTTCCCGTGACCAAAGGAGCAGTAAAGAAGAACCTGGAATAAGAGGGATGTGGGGGGATGGTTATAAAAGGCTTGGTAGGGGCATTTTGTTGTATTTTCATATGTGCGTGTGTGTGTGTGTGTGCACCTGGAAGTCATGGCGACTTCTGCTGACTGACCCCTACTGGAGGCCTGGGGGATATTCAGAGAGGCGGCTGAATAAAGCCTGCCCCCGTCCTCCGGACTGCTGGTATTCCAAGGAGGTCTCCCATCCAAGGACTTGCCAGAGTCGATCCTGCTTCTCTTCCGAGCTCTGATGCGATTGGGCTCGCCTGGGCTATCCAGGTCAGGGCTGCGTTTTGCATTTTTAACAGTGAGACAAAAGAAAGTATCTTGGGAGGAAGGAGAAACAGACCTGAATGGAGCAGAGCTCGGAGCCTGCAGTGTCCATCGTACCCACCTGGCTGGTCAGCCTCCACCAAGGGATCTTTCTGGGTCACACTCACCTTTGTTGATTAGGGGAGCGCCAAATCGAGCGACAGGAACGTCCAGGACCCTTCCAGCTTCGCTCAGCAGTTGTGGAACTTCAGGAGTTTTATTGCTCATACAATCATATACAGTAAAAGTCCGATTTCTCCGACCCTTACAAAATAGGGCAGAAATGCATGTATGGCAGGGCTGGTGCAACGGCTAATTGTGTTTTTCTTTAACAAAAAAATAAATTGGTGAAGAGGAGGGTCACAAATTCCTGATTGGGGGGGGGGCGTTCCTCCTCCTTTGCTGTGCAGCAGAAGGGCGCTCTCTTAATGCCACCACGAAAAACCAGGATCAAATCCACATTTTTGTTTTTTTACTGGACCATTTTCCTAGCCCTCTTCAGCAAATGGTTCCCCACAACCGAGACATTAGTACAGACAAAGCAGAGCGTCAAAGCCCCCGTTGACAAGCCGAGAATCCCACGGACGTGTGCCTATCCAGCAGTGCGGTACATCCAACCATGAACAGACAACGAAACGGGGGAGCCCTTGCACAGTTTCCCTGCCCTTGTTCCACAGACAGGTACGCTATTTTACCATCTCGCTGCGGTTTCCCAAGGGTTCCTCCTTGCTGCCCAAACACTGGTAGGCAGTGTTCCCCCTAAGCTGAGTTAGTGTGAGCTAGCTCGCAGGTTTTTAGCCTCCGGCTCACACATTTTTGTCTCAGCTCAGAAAGGATGACTCCAGAGCAAACTAATTTACGCAGGAGCCAAATCGCCAAATCGTTCATTCACAACTTTAATGCCAGTGGCTCATAAAGTAGAATTTTTGCTCACAAGACTCCACAGCTTAGAGGGAGCATTGCTGGTAGGACAAAAAAAAAGAACTCCTTGGCCAACAGCGCCCTATCAAGGAAAGAACACTTAAGGTTGTGATCCTATGCAGATTTACCTGGGAGTAAGCCCCACAGCACACGGTAGGACTTACTTCTGAGTAAACATGCACGGGATTGCGCAGAACATAGTTTCAGTTGTCCAGAAGGAGTCTACCACCTGGGGCTTGCGAAATCAACCCATGTATGAGTAATGCTGCACACTGAAATAAAATCGTAACACAACTTTTGCAGATCTCCGAATTCCAAATTGTCTTCTGTGTCTCAAATGGCTAATTTTCCAAAGTAAGTGTTTTACAGAATTCAGATTAGGAGGGGGGAGTTGATTATATTTGAACTCTTGTTCCTTAGTACTGACTTCCAACAATCTCACTCAGATTCACGTGCTGCTTCCCTCCAGTAGGATTTGTATTTCGGCTCTGGGGACGCTGATTCCTGTGGGATATGGAAGCCATTCGACCTGCATTTTACCACATTTCACCAGTTAGGTATTGGTTAGGTTAATCTCATTCCTTTTGATGGAAGGAATACCCTTTCTAATAAACACCTTCTGAGTTCTCACTTCTCTCTCCTTCAGGTCTAATCACAAACTGAGGTTGTGAACACCAAACCGTGAAACTCCCCCCCCCCCGCGCCCCCTTTACTGACTAAACCCAGGGACCTCGCTATTGAACATATAGACTTGGGCACGGTCCCCCCACAGCAAGCCAATTTTGGTACCTCTATAGCTGGTCACTGGGTGCACACCTTATTTCTGCCTTGCCGCATATCAGTTAATTTTCCCCTTCAGCCTTTTGCTCTATGTAGTAAAATATTCTATAAAAGAAAGTGACTGAAAATCTATAGCTCTAAGAATACCTGGTTATCTTCTCTCTTTTTTTGTTTTTGTTTTTTTGTTGTTAGTTTTTTTGAGAAAAAAAAATCAAACAACCCCAAACCTCTAATTATAGTTAGAACGCAAGGAAAAAGAAAGGAAGGAGAAATGACTCGATGTGTAAAAGTCTGCGGAGGGGGATCTGAAAAGCACAAATGAAATAAACAGCTCCGCGGGGCAGCGGGGACGGGCGGGGGAGCGTCTCACAAATTGGAAGGCAGTTTAGATCGGATCGGTTCTCGATCTCCCGTGAGCCCTATAGATCCTTTCCTCCCTTCGGCAGCAGTCAGAGACGGGGAAATGGCGGGACTGGCCTCCAGTGCGGGCGGCTGAGGCAGAGAACCTGAGGACATGTGGCGCGGCAGAGTCACTCTCCCTGGCGCAAAGCTGTATGGCTTCCCGAGAGGTCTGGTCCCTCCTCCTCCTCCAGAGAAGGACGAGAAGCTAGAAACAGACTCCCTGGAGGAACGAGGAGAGCCTTGGCTTGAAGTCTGAGCCGCTCCTTGGGGCAAAGATGGCTGGGAAGCAGAAATCAACTTGAGGTCCTGGGTGAATCGTCCGGGCGGACGCGGTGGCGTGCTCCTGGGCGGAAGGGCAGGCGGAGGGGGGCTGGAGGACTGAGGTGGCGGCAGCAGAGACCTGTGAGAGCCCAGCGCCCCGGAAGGGCCACCCGGGAAAGTCCTGGCTGCGGGGCTCGGACTAGGAGGACTAAGGCCTGAAGGCGGGTGGAAAGAAGGGGCGACGCCAGGCTGTTTCAAGGGAGACAAAGAGGCGAAGGGTGACCTTTCGTGGTGCATCTGAGCTGCGGTCGCAGCAGGCGCAGCAGAAGGTCCTAATGCACTTGGCGGGGGGCTCTGGCACAAGCCTGACGGGGAGCCTCCCATTCCCTGGGCCAGCTGGCTGAAGCTAGAGGACGGAGAACCAGGCGGGGGCGGGAAGGGGTTCATCCCTCCCAGGGCTCCAGTTCCTGAGAGCTGCTGTGACTGCCCCGCCTGGAGTGGCCGGCAAGCGGGCTTCAGGTGGCCGAGGGGGCTGCCGGGCGAATTTGAGGGCGGCCGGGTGAAGGCGCTGGATGGAGAGCTCTCGGGGGCTTTCTGGAAGGGGCCAAAGCCACTCAGCAGGTTGCTGTCGGACTCGGGATCCTGCTGGTGAGCGGGCCCTTCCAGGGCGTCGGAAGGCCCTCCCTGCTCTTGGGGATTTAATCCCACAGACAATGGGCTGCCCAAGGCTTGGCGGCTCGAACCGGCAGACAGAGAGCCAGCGGAGGCCCGGTGGAAGTGGCCCAAGCCGGCCGAGGCCGTGAAGCCCGCCAGCTGCTGGATCTGGAAGGAGGAGGATGAGAGAGTTTCTGCTCCCGGCGTGCTGGAAGGGGAGCCCACGACGGAAGGCCCCGCCGACGACACCAAGGAGTGGAGCCGTCTCAGATGCCGAGGAGTCTGGTTCGACTGCTGCCCCAAAGAACCCAGGACAGACACCGGAGGACGGAAGATGGCGGTCGGAAGGCGAGGGTGGTGAGTGAGGGCTATTGCTACCGAGGTGGTGGCGGCGGCCGCTTGCAGCGGGGCCTGAATGAGGGGGGTCCAGATGACAGGCGTGGGGGAGGAGGCAGCGGCCGCCGCCGCCTGGACATTGTGGGCGCAGTGGGCCATCTCTCTGTCGTGCTGCACAATCTGCTGGATGATCTCGTTCTCCTGGTAGTTGAAGACTCCGGAGTTGAGGTCGTGCTGGACTTTATGGAGGAGGATGGAGTTCTTCTTACCTACGGAGGAACAGACGAGTGGCATTATCAATCGGGAGCCGCCTCCAAGGAAAGGGAAGCTGGACATTTGTTTAAACTCCAGCAGTGTTATGCCCGTGTCAACCTTCCTGCCCTGGTCCACTCACCTCTGGGCACTGGGTGCAGTTAGCGTGCTCTAAGGGCCTTGCTGAAATTATTTTAGGGCCCCACACCACCGTTCGCTTCTGGTTACCTTAAATTTTATACCTTTTGGGCTAGTTGTTGCTTCTTCTTTTTTTAATATTGCATTTCTATCCATTGTTTTGCTGTTTTTAACAAACACATGAACAGACACGCGAAGCCAGTCTTGTCTACTCAGACCGGCAGCAGCTCTCCAGGGTTTCAGGGAGAGGTCTTCCCCATCACCTGATTCTATATTTGACCGGAATGTTGGGGATTGATTCTGGGGCCTTCTGCTTGCTAAACAGATCATCTGTCGCTGAGCCACACACCCCTCTCCCCCCAGGAAGTGAACACACGGAACTTCCTCATACTGAACCAGACCCCCTGGGTCCATCACGCTCAGTACTCAGACTGGCAGCGGCTCTCCAGGGTCTCGGGTGGGAGGTCTTCCACATCACCTGCCACCCGGTCCTCTTAACCGGAGAGGCCTTCTGCCTTCAAATCGTCTGCTCTCCCCACTGAGCTGCGGCCCCTCCCCTCCCCCTGTTTTCTACACTGTTTTCTATTTTTGATTCCACTTATGATAAATGAGCCGTTTTGAGCTCGACACACGAAGAAGTGTTGAATAACCTGAGTGGGTAAATAAATTTTAAAAAATACAAAGGGGAAGAGGAGAACCGTGTAGGAAAGGTTGTCCAAGTGTGTGCCAGTTTTGAATGATTGACAGATCTGGTGTATGTTCTAAAGATCATAGGGTACCGTTTTGGGGTTGTGTAAAGCCATGCTTCACTTCAGATAGTCTGCCATCGACACTGGGGGTGGGGAATTCCTCAGGTGGGGGGGGGATTGAGTGTGGAGTGTGTATGAGACGGTGGAACTTTTTCCTGAAGATGCGCCTCTCCCCGGTTCAGAGGGAGACGTCCTTGAAGCTTCCAATGCCAGTTTTGAATGATTGACAGATCTGGTGTATGTTGTAAAGATCATATGGTACTATTTTGGGGTTGTGTCAAGCCATGCTTCACTTCAGATAGTCTGCCATCGACACTGGGGGTGGGGAATTCCTCAGGTGGGGGGGGGGATTGAGTGTGGGGTGTGTATGAGACGGTGGAACTTTTTCCTGAAGATGCGCCTCTCCCCGGTTCAGAGGGAGACGTCCTTGAAGCTTCCAATGCCAGTTTTGAATGATTGACAGATCTGGTGTATGTTGTAAAGATCATATGGTACTATTTTGGGGTTGTGTCAAGCCATGCTTCACTTCAGATAGTCTGCCATCGACACTGGGGGTGGGGAATTCCTCAGGTGGGGGGGATTGAGTGTGGGGTGTGTATGAGACGGTGGCACTTTTTCCTGAAGATGCGCCTCTCCCCGGTTCAGAGGGAGACGTCCTTGAAGCTTCCAATGCCAGCTTGTGTAGTAGATAATGGGATCGTATATCCCCGTGAGAAGGGGGGGTAGAGACACAGGGAGCTTGGCTGCGTGAGGTGACGTATACGTGGGCCTTAGGAGGGGTTATAGTTTTAACTTCCTATATGTATGCCTGTACCCGCCAAAAAGCTTTAGAACTGACACAGTACTGTCCATGCCTGGAACCTGTGTAACTCAATAAAGCTCTTCACTGCCAGAGACAGTGTGCTTGAGAGTAACTCGGCCGGGGAGTCTTGACAGGTCGCCAGTCTATTTTCTGGCACGATTCAAACCTCTCGAGAGACTGGGACCGGAGCAGTTGAACAGCCTTTGACTTCTATATAAATCTGTTTGCTAGCTAGTATTCCATACCGGAGGCCCCTCTCTGTGGTGGGAAGTGCCAGCCAGTCACAGCCGACTTATGGTAACCTTTCGGCTTTCCCAGAAGGTTCACAGGTGGTTTGCTATCACCTGCCTCTGCGCCGTGACCCTGGGCTTCCTTGGTGGTCTCCCATCCGAGTACTAACCGGGGCTGACCCTGCTTAGTGTCTGAGATCTGAGAAGATCGGGCCAGCCTGGGCCGTCCAGGACAGGGCAGCCCCTCTCTGTGCCCCCATTCTGAAGGGAAGGAGACGGCAACCAGCCACACCCCTCCTTTCCAGCGGTGCCATCTCAGCTGTGGAATGCTCACCTCGCCAAGCTTCTGCAGTTTCAGGTGCTGGGTGAAAGCGCCTTTTATTTGCCCCGTATTCTGTTAACTGGGTTGTGTCGTGCCCTCGTTTCACTGCCGGAAGAGATTCATTAAACGTCCCGTACTGAATGATCTACCGTATTTATTTCTGTCTTTCTGTTTGGAATCCTCTGCCAGCCTACTGGAAGAATTCTGTGCCGGATAGTCTTCAGAGCATGATTTTTGCTTGCGTGCGTGCACAAACACACACACACAGAAAATTTGACTCTGTCGCTTTACGACACTTCTTTTATGAGATCTGCTTTTATTTTTAAGTGTGCTGTTGTGTGGACTCCTTTGGGCCTCTCTGGAGAACTGCAGCTGGCATGCCTGCCTGAGGATCCAGTTCATCACCCCCCCCCCTTCCAGGTGCCAGAGGCAGGGTCTTTTTCGTAGTGACTCCTTACACCTAAGCAGTCCTCTCAGCAGTCTCCCCCAGGGCCCTGATCTTCTGACTTTCAGGTGCCGGGTTCAAAACATGTTTGGTCACTTAGGCGTTTGGTTGACTTGTTTAGTTGTTTTGGGGGGGGGGGGGTTGTTTCTTATTTTCCTTTCTTCCCACCGTGCTGCACCGCAGGGCTGGTTCCTGGCATTTTGCCACCCCCTCAAGTACCCGGCCCCTTTTGTGCTGCTGCAGGAGTCTGGCTTGGACCTGGCCGGCAGACGTTTAAAACGACCGTGCCCCCTCAGCTTAGTACAGCTCAATGTTTTACTGTGGTCAGCCGAGGAATGGTTTGACACGATGTGAGGCGATTTCAGAAGACGCTTTTGATATTTCATCCTTGTGGTTTTATCTTGGACGCCTGGGGAAGCTGACGGCTGACGGGGCGCATATAAATCATTTAAACGAATCAACTTGTCCTCTCTAAATAAGTTAAGCACCCCGCAGCACCTGCCGAAGAGTATTCTGGCCTTACTGCTGACATCACTGTAAAACAAGGGGTTTCCCCACCTAATGTGTCTTTAAACAAAAGAACAAACAAAGTTGTGGCTTTTAAACTGGCAAACGACGGTTGTCGCAGGGTAAACAAATGCAGCAAGTAAAGTAAAGCCTTCAGTGACGTGTAATGAGAGGGGACACGTTCAAGCCATGATCCCAGTTATGAACACAGGAGAGTTAGAATCACGTCTCCACTTTCAGCTGGGCCATTTTGGAACCCATGGACTGTGTCAAAAGGAAAAACGGAATAGGCTTGAGTCTTAAGAGCGGGGGGGTGGGGGTTTTAAGAGGGAACAGTTTGTGTCTCTGCCACAATAATCTCCTCGAGTACTCCCCATTATTATTTCTTCTTCTTCTTTTTTCTTTTAAAATATTTTTATTAGTTTTCAAATTTAAATAAACACAAAAACATCTAGACAATTCACCTGAATTAATTTTGTTAGACCTCTGGAGAAACAGCAAAATCCCTCAGATACGTAGAGAGTTGATTTCTATGCTTTTCTTAGCAGCCAAAATGATTATAGCAGTGAGTTGGAAAGATCCTTCTCCCATCTTGATTATGAGGTGGTTCACTAAGATTTGGGAATTGCTCGCAATGGATAAAACTGCGGATTCTATTTCTTCTTACTTATACCGACTGCCTTCTTTCCTTTGGAGCAAGGTGCCCCTCTGCCCTTCGAGAGGATGTTACGTTGGCACGGCAGGAAAAAAGCTCTGCCAGTGGGCGGCCCAGCCGGGTAAGTGAAGTGTTCTAGGTGTGGAGTGACGGGGCAGACACCTGCCTGAGGCTGTTGGCTGTCGCTCACGGGAATTTGGTGCTGCCGCCAGGGATGCTGGGGGACCCGCTGGTTGTGCTCACAGGCGGTTTGCCGCATGTGATTCGGCACCCAACGAATCGATTGGCTGTTTGGGAGATGGCAACGTTTTTGGTGCCACCCAGGAGCGGCACACCGGTGGCAGGGGATCAGAAACCAACTCCCAGTTGGTACCCCATCGGGGGGGAGTCAGCTTCTGGGGAAAGTTCACTAGGTTCCAATGTTGCCGCAACCCAGGGCGGGGGGGGGGGGGAGAGTACGAAGTCAGCTCCCAGATGATCATCTAAGAGTCAGCTTCTTCTTTGGGGTATTTTTGTATTTGTGTGTGTGTGTGTGCCCGTGCCTGGAAGTCATGGCGACCTCTGGCGACTCCTACTGGGGCAGGGAGGACATTCAGAGAAGTGGCTTGATAGCCTGCCCCTGCCTCCCAGCCCTGGTATTCCTTGGAGGTCTCCCATTCCAGTACTTGCCAGGGTCGGCCCTGCTCAGCTTCCGAGACTGGGCTTGCCTGGGCTCTATCCAGGTCAGGGCCAAGAGTCAGCGTCTGATCTTCCTGGATAATCTTTGCTGACTGACAGACTTCCTGGGCACAGCAAAGTTCTCCCCCCACCAAAAAAAAAACCCCTTCGCTTTTGTGTTCCAGCAAGGCTGACAGGCAGCCGAATTTCCCCGGAGGGGGGTCCGATGCTGATCCCCAGCTAATCCCCAGGATCTGCTGAGTCCACTTCTGGGCAATACTGCTTGGTGGCCGTTTTGGTGGAGCAGAACCAGTCCGTGTTCAAATTGTGTGCGCTTAACGCGCGGGGCCTTTGGCGCAAAATCCACAACGTCTCAGTTGCCACCCTCTGCTTTCCAGTCACCAAAAGCCGTCTTGGAGAATGGCTGAGAACACGGTGACGATCCGGTTGCAGGGTGTGGCTTGAGTCCCAGGTCACGAGGTCCCCCTGCCCTTCCACTGCAACAGCCACACGCTTTGGGACGGCCGCAGACCTCTTCCCGTCCCCCGGCTGCAAGGGGAAATACAACCGCGGACGTCAGGAATAAAGCATTTCCATTTAGGACTGAACTGGCAGTAGATCCCGAACAGAGAGAAGAAAGCACTTTTTTTTGCGATGTGAAATTAACTTAATGGTATTCACTGCAGCGAAATACAGTCATGGCCACTCGCTTAAATGCCTTTAAAAGGGAGGGACTAGCAAAAATCATGGTGGAGTCAAATGGAGCCTCCATGTTCAAAGACAGTGTATCTCTCAACACCAATTAGGGGAGGCGACAACAGGCTTTGGAGTCTGTGCTGTGCTTGTAGGCCTTCCAGGGACTTCGCCGTAGGAGGTAAAAGATGCTGGACCAGACGGCTTATGATATGCTGCCTTTCAAAGGCAGTTCTAGATTATGCACAGAATTCTGGTACATTAAAACGAAAAATAATGTGCAGGACTCCTTTTTTAAAAAAAATGGCAAAGTCAGCTCGAAGCAGCCTGGAGATAACACACAAAAGCAATGCGATTTCATTTAAAAAAATGAGTATTCCATAACAATCGTGCCTTTTTTTTAAAAAAATGGCAAAGTCAGCTCGAAGCGGCCTGGAGATAACACACAAAAGCAATGCAGTTTCATTAAAAAAATGAGTATTCCATAACAATCGTATCAAATAATCAATTTTTTTCCCTTTCAGTGGCTAACTTCCTGCACAGGCTCCAGCTTGTGATTAACTGTGTCATTGTGCTTGCTGGCTCTGGCCGTCTCTCTCCAATCCGTCTCGGCCCCGAGCTTTAAGAATTCAGGCTGCCACGGTCCTTCCCTCCTCTGGGACCTTTTGTATTCTCACATTGTTCCGGGATGCCCGTCTCTCGAAACAGCAGCAGCTCTGCGGCTCTCGGGTGGCGAAGAGGGACGAGAGCATTGTGGAGATGGGATGCAGGGAAAAAATACAGAAACCCCTCGGGACGCACCACGGGCAGTTTTGTGGCTTCCCTCCACGGCTCCCATTGTGTGTTCCTAAACTCATTTTCCTTTCCCGAGCCTATCTTTCACCCCGTGTCAGATGAGCCCAAACGGAGGGCCTGAGCTACCAAACGGTAGGCACACTTAAGTGCTACAGCAGCGACGAGACTAATGAAATGCTCCCCCTTTTTACATTAAAGAAAGGGGGAAGGGGTGGGATTCCCCCCCCCAAAAAATATGGTCTGATTTCCACTAGACGGTGCCCAGCATCCACAGCTCTCCCTGCCTTTGGCAAGGGTTTAGCTGCTTTGTGAGAAATGAAAATGATGCTTCCAAATGGATGCCTCTGGAGGGCACTCTCTGCCCACTTATGCTACAGGCACCTGTATATTATTTCCCCCAAAGCAGGGCTGCTCACGACCCCCTTTGTGCCAAAACGGGGCCCTCGCGGAACCTGCGGTAAACCTTGTTTCTTTCCTCCATTGTAGGCTTTGTGTTTTGATCAACAGGGCTGCTCCTCCTCTGAAACGCATCCAGTGGTCCATCGCTCCCCTCCACCTTCCCTCTGTGCCCGAGTGCCGTGCCCCCTGAGAGAGGCGCTCAAGCACAGGTGCCTGGAGAGCAGCATGCCAAGGGACGCTGTGGTCAAAAAGCAGACTCCCCATTTCACACCAGCCGGGAGAACGGACTCTGTTTGGCCAGAGAGCATCGCATCCCGTTTCCAGCCCTATGGAGACGACTTAAGGACCGACCGCATTTCCTTCGGTATGATCTCTCTTGAATCACAGCCTCAGATAATGTTGTTAGGGCTTTAAGGTGCCACTGGACTTCTGTTTTATTTCTTCAGAGCAGACTAAATACAACTCCCCCTTGGCAATCTTCTGGAGAAGGCCTAAATTAGTTGGGGGGGGGGGTAGAATAGGAGGGTGTGTACTTTGGGTAAAGCTCTGTTGAGTTTGCTGCCTGAAGTCAGGGTGGACGTCTCCCCTTAAGTATCCAGTCCTCTTAGTATGTAGAACTCCAGGATATAATACTGAGGTCAAAGAAGACGGGGACGGCAAAGGATGAGAGGGTTAGACAGTGTCATAGATGCAACGAACATGAAGTTGAGCAAACTTCAGAGGACGGCGGAAGACCGGAAGGCCTGGCGTGATCTGGTCCATGGGGTCGCGGAGAGTCGGGCTCGACTGTGCGACTGAACAACAAATGCAGAAGTTAACTGGTTTAAGTCCTCTCACAGTGGCAGGGTTTTGTTGTTGTTGTTGGGGCGGAGGGTACGGAATATTTCCCCCAAACGTTTCCTGAAGCTGACTTGTAAGCTGATAGAAACTGATGTTTTGAGGGGATTTTATTAGCTTTAGAAATAGACTTTTTAAAGGTTTGTATCGTATTCTGTCAGGTTATTTTGAGCCGCTCTGGGATCTTCTCCAGTAGATTTAAAATAAAAAAATCTGGGCTGATTTTAAAGGGATTTTCAAAAGCAGCAGATGTAGGTAACACGCGTAGCAGCTCTCAAGTCGAGATGGGGGAAGGGAACAGAAGGTGCCCACCTCCGCCAAACTGAGAGCTAGGGCTGCACCACCTTTGTCCTTAACAAGAAACCTACAGCTCTGCATTGGTGCTATGCAAATTCAGTGTATACAGGGCATCATTCATTCTGCTCCTAGTACTTCCCTATGACTAGAAGGGAAGCCCACAGGAATCATAAATCCAGTGGCAAGAGCAGAGTCTCCAGCCTGTGTGCCTGGATGTAGAAGGTCCCAGGTTCATTTCCTGGCATCTCCAGTGGTAACAGATGGTAGGAAAGATCTTTCTCTACCTGAGATCCTGGAGAGAGCTTCTGTCGGAAGAACGGTGTGCTCTGGCTCAGCATAAGGCAGCTCTAGATGTTCTCATCCAAGCCCCCGACAGTTTCCTATCGACCAACACCAACAGCTTTGCCACCCAAGCCTACTGTTAACTTCAAAGGTTTCTCCACTCAACTCGGTCATGTCTTTATGCTCCCCTAAGAACTAAAAACCTGGGGTTTTATAAAATCTCGATAATCTGGGGATGCCGCGTCCTGCATCCAGCACTCAACCCGATTCCTTTCCTTGCACTTGCACGGGGCTGCAACCGACGCGCAGTCCCGCCGGAGAGCCCCGGTCACCACTTACCGATTCTGTCGAGCCTGTCCAGCGCCACTGTTTCGAACGCCCTCCTCATCATGGGATACTCCTCGAGCACCTCGTTGAAGTTGTCCACCGAGAGGGAGTAGAGGCGGCAGTAAGTGTCGGCTCGCACACTCGCCGTGCGCCGGCCGCGGGTCAGCAGGCAGATTTCTAGGATATAAGAAGAAGCAACGTGGATGCAATTTTTTGCAGTGGGGACTGCGCCGACCCACTTTTCTTTGTATCCGCAGCAGGGTCTGTGTGTCTGCTGACATGAGACCCCCACTGGGCATCTGTGGCGGTAGGGGCGGAAAGTGTCATGAAGTCACAGCCGACTCATGTCGACCCCCACATGGGGGCTTCCAAGGCAAGAGACGTTCAGAGGTGGTTTGCCACCGCCTGCCTCTGCGTAGCCACCCAGTTGGGCTTCCTTGGGCATCTGCCGGGACATCTAAATAGCTGCATGTTTCCATGCTTGCAAATTTTAAAAAAGGGGGGCAGGAGGACTGAATCAAAATAATGACAAACAGATATGTGAAATCTTGCCTGTTTGTCAGATTAGCCAGGGAAGGGTGTGTCACAAAGCCAGACTCTGGACAAAGAAACATGATTATGCAATTACTTATATTGCCAAAAGAATTATAGCGATGATATGTATTGAAGAACGCAGTCAAGGCTGCAGTGAAAACGGTAATTATACGCCACCCTTACAGTCCCAACAAAACACTTAAAAGATCAACATAAAAGCGCAACCCCCCCTCCCCCCGCTCAGTGTCAGGAAGTAATTAACGTACATTAATGCATCAAAACATTGTTGTAAATGCGGTTAATTTAGCAGATAAAACACACTCCAAAGAAGTGGCGGCTACTGCAGTAGGACGAAACTGTTCACTGGAGGTTGAATTGCTATCACTTTGACAGCATCCCTAACAATTAGCGTGGCCTCGATTGCGTTTTTGAATGATGCATTAATTGTGGCATTTTATTATTTACTGCAAATGCAATTATACAACTACTCTGGTTCTTTGTGCTTTAACAGGGATAAACCTCCACCTGGCAATTTCTGCGTTGAGTTCACCTTCCTCCATCCATCGTTTAGCTCATCTAATTAGCCACTTGGGGGTTCTGCTTTTAAGGTTCAGCCGAGGCTCAGTCTGTGCTTCCCGTGCATACTAATGAACTCCACCAAGCTGGTGGGAGTTGGAGATCACGACATGCCTTGCCCTCTCCCATCTGAAGAAATTCTGCAGCTGTGCTGAGCATGGGTCTTGCATTTCACAGCCTGGTCTTGTGGGCTTCCCACCTGCCTTGTTTTCTCAACCTGAAACAACCTCACAGAATTGCTGTTTGCCCCACAGATGAGTGTGTATAAAGTGCCCTCAGGCCTCATCTGGGGACCCCTGGTGGGGGTTTCTAAGGCAAGAGACGTTCAGAGGTGGTCTGCCATTGCCTGCCTCTGCGTAGCCACCCTGGCCTTCCTCGGTGGTCTCCCACCCAAGCACTAACCAGGGACGACCCCGCTTAGCTTCCGAGATCTGATGAGATTGAGCTAGGCTGTGTCTTAACCCCAACCCCCTTCCCTCCCACTGCAGTCCTGATGTGAATCAGCTTCACATGCGCTTCCTATTTAAAGGGGGGGGCAGTGGGAGTTGCATTCATGGAGGATCACATCTGGTTTGGCCCTAATTCTGAGAGCAGAGTCACACAGGGTTGTCCAGGGTCAGTCAAAGAGTATACCCAGTGTCAGACATGGGTTAGTGATAGTTGCACAGAAAAAGAGGAGATTGGATCGATACCCCGCCCTTCATTACCCAGAGGAGTCTCAGAGCGGCTTACAAACTCCTTTCCCTTCCCCTCCCCACAACAGACACCCTGTGAGGTGGGTGGGGCCGAGAGAGCTCTGACAGAAACTGCTCTTTTTTTCAAGAACAGCCCTTATCAGAACTATGGCTTGCCCAAGATCATCCAGCAGGTGCAAGTGGAGGAGTGGGGAATCAAACCCGGTTCTCCCAGATTAGAGTCCGCGCACTTAACCACTACACCAAACTGGTGCTGGGATCTTGGTGCGGGGCACTTCTGTTGCAGGACATTTTGCACAGAACTAGGCGGAGGGGGGAAAGGTTTCCTATGTGGAAGGCAGCCACGGTGCTCTCCAGCCGCCCCCCGTTAAAAAAGGGAGAACCCGAGGCCTTGCTGCTGCCGGCTGACCTCCAAAGTAGGAGCCGTCCGCCAGCTTCGTCTCCTTGTTGCCTTTGGTGAGCACGCTCACCACCCCGTGCTGGATGAAGTACATCTTCTTCCCGATGGTGCCTTCCCGGATGATGTAGTCCGCGGGCTGGAAAACCTCGAAACGCAGCTTGGTCAGCATGGACGTCACGAAATTCGGATCCGCGTTGGCGAACAGGGGCATGGAGGCCACGAGCTTCCGGCAGTTGAAGTTGATGATCTCCTGGGCGGGAGGAAAAACCAGAGCGTTCAGTGCGATGGTGCTGAACGCAAAGGGAAGCCATGTCCCTCTGCATCCCGTTTCCCATGGTCGCCAAGTGCTGAGGCCAAAGCCTCCTCAGCAGCTGATATTCAGAGGTACACTGCCTCTGAACACAGAGGTTCCATTGCGCCATCAGAGGTAATAAGGCCACTGATGGCCTCACGTTCTGTGAATCTAATTCCCTTTTAAAAGTCGGCTAAAGGCAGTGGTCCTTCGCTGCACCCTGTTATCTTGAGTTCCACGAGTTAAGTATGGCTTCCCTATTAAGTAATGTAGATTATGATGGCTTTGTTTATTTTAATAATAGTGCCATCGTTCCGTTGGTGGTAGCATTATTAAAAAAAAATAAAGCCCACCCCTGACTCTGCCTGGTATGACAAAATTTGGGACCAATTTGTCACGAGCAAGATCACCAACTGCTTAGAACAAAAACAGAACACTCAATAATCCACTTTCAATCCACTTTCCGACTTGATTTTTACTGTGTGAACCGGCAAAATCCCATTCGAAAGGGCATTTAAAGTGGATTGAAAGTGGATTATTTAGCATGTGTGACCACAGCCACTGTTTGGCTCCATCCACTAAGATTTATTCCAAATTTGTTCTCACTCGGACCACCAGTACTGCAGTTTATGGCGGGCCGGGACCTCCTCCGAGCTACCACGCGCGGCCACATTTTCAATACACCCTTTGCTCTGACGCACGGCCTCTTGTTTGACAGAGCTTCACTTCCTATCTGACTCACACATCTTTTGGATGAGCCTGTAAGGATTTACTTTCTATCCTTTAGAAAATTACTGCTTTGTTTCTATCCTACAACGGTTTACTGTATATCCTCTTTAAGAATATGTCATTTCGATTCATCTTATTTGTGAATGGAATGTTGTTGTAACTTTAATATAAAGTTTTTAAATGGCAATAAATGAATAAAGCCACCATAAATTTACATTAGTGACAGAGAAGCCACAACTGTGGAATCACAAAGGCTTCCCTATACATCAGGGGTCCCCAACGTGGTGCCCACAATCACCAGCACCTTCCTTGGCACCCACCAAGGGTTGGGGCTCTTGCCCAGCAGAGCTTCTGATTGGCCACTGGAGATATAATTGGCTATGCAGATTAAGACAACACTGTTTCAGTGGCAGCTGCCGCCACAGCGTTTCTTTTATTCTCTTTCATTCCTTTGTCCCGCTGTATTTTTTAAATTTCCCCCTTTTCTTCCCTGCACGTTGGGTTTCTTCGGGGGGACAGTGGCTCCACCTCCCGCCACAGCTGTTTTGTGGTTGGCTCCGCCTCCCGCGGCAGCCATTTTTGTCGCAGCCGTTTTGTGGTTGCCCCCACCACCCTGTGCCAGAATTCCAAAGGTGCCCACAGGCTCAAAAGGACTGGGGACACCTGCTGTGAAGGTCTTTGCAAACCTTTTAATGGGCAGAAGGGAATCAGTCTGGCAAGGAAGCCAGGCAAGAAGCCACAACACAAAAGGCCCTGCCACTCCCCGTACGTTTGGCAGGGAAACCACTCAGAGTAGGGAACCCTATCTCCTCTCCCTAACAGGATTGGGGGATGGGGTAAAGACATCATTTCGGTTTCCAGGGTGAACTGGTGATAATGAATGCTGTCATGTTCTAGGGCTCAGAACCTTCCTTTACAGAGCCTCCATGGTTTCTTGAGCTGGAAGCGATCACTGGACTGGGTTAAATGACAAAAGAACATAAGAGCCCTGCTGGATCAGATCAATAGTCCATCCAGTCCAGCCTCCTGTCTCACACAGTGGCCAACCAGTTCCTCTGGAGGGCCAACAACAGGGCACAGAGGCCAAGGCCCAAATGAGGACATCAGAAGAGCCCTGCTGGGTCAGACCAGGGGTCCATCCAGTCCAGCATCCTGGCTGACACAGTGAGCAACCAGTTCCTCTGGAGGGCCAGCAACAGGGCATAGAGACGAAGACCCTTCCCCTTGATGTTGCCTCCCTGCCCTGGGAACCCAGAGGTTGACTGCCTCTGAACATGGAATTTCTCTTTAATCACCATGCAGCAAAAGTTGGCTTATTCCGGACAGACTGCATCCAGGCCCTCTATATTGCAGGCCTACCCCGACTCAGCTGTGATGGTCCCACAGGCTCTAAATTGGCACTGAGGATCTCGCTGCCGGTT